AGTAAGAGTTATCTCTATTACGCTATCTCTTAAAGAAATTTTTAAACGGCACAAAATAACAAAAATTTTAAAAACAAACTTAATCTTCATAATCCTTTCCCATAAAAATTTATATTATAATAAAGCCAGAGAATACTATGGTTCTTAAAGGCTTGTAACGCTACAAAGTAATAATACTGCATTTACATATGTAAGATCCTACCTTATAAATGCGTCCTTTGGTAACAAAAAGTTCTATAAGCGTAGGAGTATGATCTATGGCAGCGTCAATCTCAATCAATGCCTTTTCCGTTTGACCGAGATAATCGTAATGTTGCGCTAGGTAATAATAAGTCCATAATAACGCGGATGCTGGTTCTCGTAGATTATCTTTTTCTTGATCACTAAAGTGGTCGTGAAGTTTTAATGCCTCCTTGTATTGCACAAGTAGAGATGATATGATTTCGACCTTTTCCTTATCAGTGTATAATGAACGAAGATTCACAAATAATGGTGGTACACCTTTGTGAAGCCCTATATAGAAATAAATCCAATTAAATACATAAAATTAAAAAAATATAATTTAAACAAATAATTGCATGTGCAAAGAAATTTTCATTGTAAAAATTTACCTTTTCGTAAATATCGATCGACTAAGACTTTAAATTCATCTCCTGTCGCATAATTGAGTTGCAAACGGCGTGGCGCTAATGCTCGAGGAAAGAGTTCTTCGTATCTTTGGAGCATTTGCAACGTTTCGCTTGGTGAAGAGTGTCTTTCAGCCTCTGCTAGCCTAGTGTAATACGTTGTGTTTTCAGGATTAATGTCTAATAGCTCTTTGTAAACTTGTTCCGCTTCTGCGTACTGTTTTAGTTGAAGTCTTAGTTTACCTAGAGAGTGATTAAAAAAATATTAAAGAAATATTCAAGTGCTAAAAATTTAAATAACCATGTTACATACCATAAGTTTCTTTGACAGTAACCTTGTCACAAATTTGATCACTATACTTGTCTAAATGTTTTAACGCCTGTTCACATTCTCCTGATTCCTGGATGACCATATTTTGATATAATAACAACTCACTATGTTCATAATCATAACAAATCTGTGGATATAAATATTTTTATTATACAATATTTTTATTTCTATGTAAAGGATTTTTATGTATAAATAACATACCATTGGAGAATTTCGAAAAGTATCTAAAATTTTCAATGCCATTTCATAATCTCTCAACAAATGATATGAAATAGCAAATCCGATCCAAGAAGCTCGTTGAGTAGGACGTAACATAAACAACTGATATCTGGTATCCTAATGAAAAATCAATATATATATATATATATTTGTAAATATATAATTAAAATATAATGTAGCTTTAGAATATGATGCATGTATGTGACAAAGTAAGAACTCTTGCAATAAAAGAGATGAATGCTAAATATTTACCTTATAACCTTCCAGATCTCGCATCTGGATTTGTAGCAACGACAAATCTCTAAGGATTTGAATATTATCTTTGTCCCACTTGAGCGCGTTTCTGTAACACTTGATAGCCTCATCATACTTCTTGTCGGAACGCTGCAGAAGACCATAAACATGCCAGCAAACATGAGACTGTAGGTCATTCCTGAGGCCACGACGCACATGATCGTAGGCTTCTTCCTTACGGCCCAGACAGTTGAGAGTGAGACCCTTCATCGCCAAGGTCTCCCCATGTTCACTGAACTTGGGATTTGACAGAATCTGTTTTGCAAACTTCAACCCATTTTTGTATTGTTTGTGTTCGTAGCATCTCTGTAAAAGAACATATATTATGAAGATGCATTTGTAGGCATTTATAGGGTTAGATAGGAGGGGGGGAGGGTACGGTGGGTTTTGTCTTGTATTCGCGCGAGGATCGACGGTGTCGATCGTCGTAGAATGTCGCCGAGCGTGACGGGTTTTCATGTATAATGTCAAGCAAACGGCTGCGTCACGCGGTCGTCAGTGACCTTTTACCGTTTTACTCCCCCGAGGAAGTGCTTTATCATTAAAGTACGGCAAATGCACTCTGCTTGCCGGAGAGTGGGGTCCAAAACAGAGTATTTTGATCAGTCGTTACTCACCAGGATCCGCTTGAACAGGGCATTTTCTTTGGGTGGCAACGGGTTGCTGGAGGGCATTTTTGTATAACTACAAAAATAGGGGGCCTTTTCCACCCGGTAAACTCAATTTTTACCACAAAACCTCGTGGCCACAAACGAAGAAGTCGATCCTCGATCACGTGATCATCCGCGACAATGCTGTTCCGCCGGAAATGTTGCTGCCACGGTGCCGCACGGTTCAACCGGCTAATCGATCCTTAATCGAGTTCGAGAAGATTGTTTTCTTCAAGAGCATACCCGTGTGTGTCGATAAATACACATTAAAAATAAATACTTTCCGGGCTCTGATTATTATATTTATATATATATTTATTATATTTATACATATTTCATTTAAACATAGTATAATAATAAAACAGTTCTATAAGAATCCATTAAAAGTTCACTAAAAATTCATTATTAGGTCCGATTTCACAATATATAATTATCTAAAGATTAAAGGTAATTAAGAAATCATGAATGAATTTCATTCATGAATCTGTTGATAATCTTTAATCTTTAAGTAACTATATTGTGAAAACGGATCTAAAGTTAGTCACACATACCTTCCGTAACAGTAAGGTTTTCGACCAATAGGATTGCTCGATTGTTACGGTTATGGTTACGAAAAGTGTGTATAACTAGCTTTAGGGTCACTTTACAAAACGCCGATTAGCTTAATCGTTCGATTAATCCATTGGAATTGAATCTGCTGTCAAACGAAGTGATAAACGCAATTTTAATGAACTAATTGGACGATTAAACTAATCGGCGTAATTCGTAAATTTTCGCTTGTATTATGTATTCTTTTAGCTCATTCAATCAGAATTTTAGATCTACAAGAATACATCGCTGCTATTGATGTATTCTTTCATTTACTAATGCTGATTGGATGATCTAAAAGAATACACCAATAACAGTGAGCACAAAACATAGCCGAATACACCCGCGTAATTTGAACACGAAATAATCATATATAATCATATATACCTAAAATGTTTGAAAAAATAATATAAAAATAGTTGGAATAATACAAGCGCACAAAAATGATATAAAAATAATGTAAAAATATTTGGAATAATACAAATATGTAAAAATGCCTTTGAAATGAGAGAATTATTTGTTTTGATTTTAATTATTTTATTTAAAAATAATGATACAAATGCTAATACAAAATGTTATAAGCAATTTCATGTATTGCTATTTCTAATTGCTTGCTGTCAATAAACAAAACATGAATCGGTGAACAATGCACTATCAGATTATCAACTTTTAATCATATATACGAATATTTCTAATTACAAACTATTATTACAATTATAAGAATTTACGTTACACTACATAATATTTTATGATTTTATAATAAAGTCGAGTAAAAAATATTCGAATAAAAAAAATCGAGGTCTGAACTTTAACGAAATATTTAATTTAACGAAATATTTTATTCAGATAAAATTAAAATCTTGTGAAAAAATACATTAATTTCGAAAATATCGAGGTGCAGTAAACTCTGAAGTGCAGTGAACTCTATAAAAATTAACGTAAAATATATTACAATTGCTTAAAGATACATTCTCGTGTAAAATTTTCAAAAAATCGATTTTTTTTGCATATTTTGATTGTACTACATTTCAACAATACACTAATCAAATTTTAGAAAGAAATTCGAAGAATTAACGATACTAAAGCCAAAAGTTCTTTTTTTACAGCCAAACGTTTGAGGAAGTTGAAGGCTTATTTTATGGACCAGAAATCACTAATTAATAATAAATAGTTTAATTATTATTTTATTTTTAAAAAATCTGTAAAAAAAACTTTAAACGCGTTTTTCTCCTAATGTTGTTACTTTCGACGGTTGATACGATTTCAGCCATATATCGAATCTTAATACAATTACTTAATTACTTTATAAACTTATACTTAACAGTTATTCAAAGCTGTTTTGATATCAATTATTATTTGATATCGATTATTGTCCAATTTAACTGTTCAATTCTGTTATGATTCAAATAAATGGTCTAATATATATGTATGTACATATTTCATTGAAAATTATATTTTTGTCTAAAATATATTTTATGATTGGGATATCTTTTTGTTAGTATGTATGTACAGCCGATCACAGAAAGATTGCAATACTTTTTTATTGATGGGTTTTGAAATGTAGCTTGCTCACCGAGCAATTGGTTCTTATTCATGAATCCACAAATAAGAATCAATCGCTTAGTAAGTAGATTGCATTTCGAAAGACCCAATTCTGATGGTTAAGATCATGGACTATTGCATATACATGATATTGATGTATTTTGTCTTTTTACATTATGATACTGCTCACGAACATGAGCTCCTGGCTTAGTGTAGCAGGTATGTGTGGAATGTCACATGGCCGATTGTTCTAATCGTATCTGTTTCGCCAAAGGAATAAGGGCTATTTTGTGTAAAGAAGAAGTCATATAGCCGGCATTCTACTTACAAAGTGTCCAATCTCTGCATGCTCGTGTATGTCTTGATTTTGCACAACAATCGATTCTATTATCGTTATCAAATATATGCGAATTAGAGAAGTAATAACATTAATGACGTTCATTCGTTCTTCTTCTCTGCAATGCTGCACAGTGTCTCTTTCGCACTATGTGCTCTACATAGATCCTGGCCTTCGATTGTACTTTGATTGTGCAATAATACATATTTCTTTATATTTAATTTTTTTATTTTTAAAACAAAATAAAAAAATCTTGCATAAACTCGAAATATAAAATAAAGGAATAAAACAGACTTTAAACAATACAATGCAATGTCATACATCAAATTGTCCTGCAGATCAGATAACACTAATAACTTAACAGTATTATTCGTTATCAGTATTATTTTGAATAAGACAATAAATGTTCTGGT